CGATGTGGAAGCTATAAATGCGATGTCTCAACAAAAGGGTAGTGTAACGGCGTGACGCCGCGCGGGAACTGATGTCACGCATACCGAAGATTGGTCAACCCCATTTTTAGATAGCGTTTTTTATCACGTGCCTTGTTGTGTTTGTCGCGCGCCTTCTACTCGCTCTTCCCTCTTGACTTCCACCTTGTCCAGTCCTCGTTTTTGGCATTCGTCTCTAGACCTTATTTCCCACTTGTCTTGATGCTGTACTACTTTTTCACGTTCAATTTGACATTCCCGTGTGCCAACGTGTCGAATGCTCTCCCTATTGCTGTCTGTCAAACGTCCTTTTCTTCTCCTTCACGACCCTATCAGATTTTGGGAACGGGATGCTTTTTGTGTAAGCCACCAATTTTGCGAGTTGGAAATTTTAATTCCTTAGAGCCCTCTCCGTTGATTCGGGACTTTTCTCAAGAGAACTCCTTTCTTCGTCTATCCTGCATAATCTATCACGAAGTCTAAGCGGTAACACAGGCTTTTCCATTGGTATGCTTATTTTGTGGCTCTAAGAAGGGCAGCCTTTTATGGAGTATGTTGTAAATGAAAATCGCCAAACCAGCTGGGCACCTTAATGCGCAGTTCATCCAATCCTCCATCTCTTTGCAACCTCGTCTATATCGTCAACTTACATACAAGGCAAAGGGAGTATTTGGCGGTTCACTCACCTTTATGAAGTTGATATATCCCTATTATACCTCGCCTGGTTTATCAACCTTGTCTTCGACGGGAGTTTTCTCGGCGTTTTGGGATCTACTATTTCTAATTGAGCTGGGAGAAATATCCTGCTGGTGTAGGCTATCGCAGCGTTCCCGTGGCATGGAGAGTGGTATTACTGGCTCTGTAACGACTGTTGATGTGGCTGAAATTTTGAAGTGTAGCTGAGCGACCCCCATCGATTCCTCTGAATTTCGCAGTCCGAGCTTTGTGCTCCTATACACTAGGCAAGCCATAATATTCATGAGCACTGTGTTTGGAAGTGACAGCAATATCTTGTAGCTCGGAGAGAAAGGCAAGTAGAATATGATGACAGTGATCAAGCTTATTGTCAGCGTGGTCCTTCAGTTGTGCGGGAATTGTAAGTTGTCAAATTTTGTGATTCAAATGTGGTTTCTTACAAGTAATACCTCTGGCCATCTTGGAGCAATATTTTGGAGAAAATAGGCAGATACGTGCCGAACACGATCATCCGCAAGCCTCGACTCAAATTATAATCCACGAGCATGTTGCTCACCAACCGCCAAGTGATAGCGATGAAGACGAAGGTGTCGTGAATTAGCGGTACGACGAAAGTGAGGGCAATATACGGCGTGCTGCGGGTGTAGATACAATACGATGTAGTGCCAATATTTCCTGCTTCTAGTCCTAGGCCAACGGTGAGAGTAGAACCAACCACGGCGAGCCAGGTGATAATCACTAAAGACCGAACGAAGTAGTTGTGACCGTACATTGCCCATACGCGAAGGGCGAAAAGGAGGGATGTTGATGATTGGACGACAGGAAAGAACCAGTCTAATATTTGTCCTAGTTTTTTGCAATGGTCAATGGGGGCGGCTGAACCACTTTAGCTTATTTTATTTGGTGGATGACCTTCAACTTACTGTCGAATATAACACAGGCTATGATGTACACAATGATGGAAATCCTTTGCATAAGTGAGCTCGGATAGATGAATAGGACATTAACTGACATACCTTGATAGAAAATACACAATGGTAGGAAATCTGATAGGGTGTCGAGTGAGAAGCTTATAGTCTTCTCCGAGGTTGCTCAGAACGTCCCAAACGAGGATCTAGAGCAATCATACAGCTTCAGAATCCGAGCTCTGCTAAAATGATTGATAAGAACTTACAGCTGTTATTCCAACCGTCGTGTAGTTTTTTATTGTCACTTGAACAGCAGCTTCTGGAGGAAGGAAGGCCATGGGGGTGAATGGATTGGGAAGAATGACATGCATCGCGGGGTCAATCGACATGTGGTATGGAAACCGCGACAAAGGGGATTTTGAGCTGCAACAGCGTTATATAATAGCACCTGGTAGACCTGCATGCAAAGCAAATTCTAACTATACCATAACGTTAACCTCTGCACGATTCAGATCTAAAAATAGTGCAGCAAGCGGTATGGCCTCGGTATATTTTCCGATGGGTATGGAGCAGAGATTGTTTAGACAGGCT